CTCCTCCTCCTCCTCCTCCTCCTCCTCCTTCTTCTTCTTCTTCTTCCTCTTCTTCTTCTTTTAATGCCCCTATAAAACTAACTTAGCAGATCATAGAAACAAGAAAAATAAAATGTAGAGAATGTCAGGCTTTTCATTTTAATTAGTCCTATAGCCATGAACACTGACTGTCACTGTGAAAGATGCCCAGAATGTGGGCTAGCATGGAGAACGTTCGTAAGTCATGGTTGAGAATACTTTGTTAAGAATTATTTTATTAGCATGAATCATGCCATAGTCCCAACTACTTTAGAGGCTGAGGTAGGAGGATCACTTGAGCCCAGGAGTTCAAGGCCAGCCTGAGCAACAGAGCAAGAACCTAATTCAGAAAATTATTGTAGATGGAGAGTGGCTCAGAAGTAAAGAGCACTGGCTGTTCTTGCAGAGGATACAGGTTCTGCTCCCAGCACCCACATGGTGGCCATCGACCATCTGTAACTCCAATTCAGAGAATCTGTCACCCTCTTCTGGCCTCCACAGGCATTGTATGGACAGGTGCTCTTACATGTATATAAAACACTCAGACACATAAAATAAAAACACATCAATCAAAAATAAACTTCTCTAAATACATGTTTAAGAAAAATTGGAATATTTGAGATGATATTGGGACCTGAGAGGTGGGAACAGGCAATGGGGTGTCTGTCATCATCACATACATTGAAAGATCTCTAGAGTCCCCCTGTGTGCTCAACTGTAGCTAACTATTGTGAAAATCTGCTCAGACTGCTTGGACTGACATCCATTTCTTTTGTGTGCCATGGGTTGATATTGGGTGTCTTCCTTGATTGTTTTCTACCTTTTGTATCGAGTCAGGATTTCACACTTGAACCCAGAGCTCACCCACTCAGTCTAGTGAGCCAGCTTGCTATAGCGCTTCTGCCTTCCAAGTGAGGGCTGGGATAACAGTGGGTAATAGGCAGAGAGTCATAGAGAAGGACTCCTGAAATCCTCTTCTGGCTTCTGCACACATGCATAGGCATGCATACCCTCACACGTGCACATACACACACATATACACACAAAATAAACAAATTCATCGTTTTTCAAAAATGGAGGAAGAGGACAGAAGGAGGAAGAAGAGGAACGTTCCAGACAAATGAGTACATGGAAGAGTATTTTCCATAGCTTATGCTATGACCTTGGTGAGATGTGGCTAGAGGGCAAAGAGAAGAGATACGTCTTAACATTTTGGAAGGGCTCACACTTCACTAGGCAGTGAAAACCCTACTTTCCTCTCTCCTCAAAGATCACAGTGGACTTATGGTGGTCTCTAAATACCAGTTTAAGTAATTCTCATGGCGAGGGGAAAGTCAAGAGAATAAGATGCTCCAAATTAGAGGCGATACATACCAGAGGGAACAAGATGCTCCAGACTAGAGGCAGTGCATACCAGAAGGCTTGTAGACCAATTGTAGACCCTGGTGAAGGCACTGAGTCTCATTTCTCTTGTTCTAGCATTACCTTAAGCATTGTAGGCTACAGGGTACCTTAGTAGCAGCAGTTTAAATAATAGCAGCTGAAGAAAAATATCTTTAATCTTTCTAATTACACTTTAAAATCCTGGGTTCAAAAGAAGTGTGAAAAATCTTTTTCCTGTGGCTGTTTTCACCATAAACAGACCTGTTTCTGCATGCATAGCATTAATGCCTATAGCTTAGTAATAACATTAGCAAGGATTGCATGGGAACTCAGCTCACCCGGGAATTCCTAGAATATGAACCTAAACATTTAACTTATTTCTAGATTCCATCTGTGACAGGTATAATCATTCTCAGAAGAATTTTTTGCAACCCAGGGAGAAGATAATCCAGTTTTTTTCATATTAGGGAGAGAGTAGGAGGACAGAGAGGCATCTGGCTCTTGAAGAGAGATTTTTTTTTTCCTTAACAGCCTATTTTCTGATGTGTTTGGAATTAGGTTAAATTGTGTTAGGTAGACTTTTTGAAAGCTGTCACTTTGAAAGAAGAAGCTGTTAAGTTCCTAGCCATACTTCGCAATGCTCTCCATTTTGCCAGGAACTGGTTTTAGAAAGAGAGATGGAAACTCATTTCCTGTTTGTGCCTGAACCATGAGAAAGCTCTTTTTATCTAAACTATATCTTGTTAGGCCAAAAACAAAGTGAAATTAGTTCCTCAATATAACAAATGTTTTCTGAGTGCCCAGCATTTGGGAAGGAGCATTAGAACATAAGATGGACACTAGAGTGCACAGTATTATGCTTAAACCTGTACCCATGTTTAATGATAACCATCTGCAGAGTCTTGGCTACATTAAGAATCAAATTCTGTTTCTGGCTTGATCTGTGGGTGACTATCCATGAACAATGAAAGAAATATCATTTCTTCTGTGAACCTGGAGACTTTACCTCATTCTCCAACACTTGGGGGAAGCCCTAGTGCCATGGTTTAAATGTGGTTTTTCCCCTAGAACTCATGTGCTAAAGCTTGCTCCATAGTGTGGTGGTCTGAAAGGTGGAGCT